ATGGCTGGTCCGATGGTTTTACCCTTCGTTCTATGCTACTAAACCTTGGGTTATTCCTAAAGTACAAATTCTGTTCTCGAACCACAAACAAGGCTAACAGATCGAAGGAAATTCAGTGAATACAGGATTGGGATTGTGCATTTTCAAAAGTATTGAGCTTTCTAATGCAACTATTTAAGATATAGAATCTTTTTTTTTTCTTAGCATGTTGCCAGCATTTTAAGTTATGTTGATTAAGTGTCATTGCTCAAATAGCTACAGAGTATGCATGGGAGTATATGCTGTCTGGATAGTTTGGAGATTCAAAGAGAAAAATCAAGCTTCAGAGGTATTAAATTATGACATGCAAAAAAGTTTTTTGTTTTATTCTTAACTGCAATAGTGTATATTTAAATCAGATTTATAGTGTTATATGTCCTGGGCCCACCTTAACACTTGTGCTGTATAGAAGTGTAATGGGAAGCAAAATTTCAATCATGGTCCCATTAACTGGGATATAATCCTTCTTTGATGTAATAGAGGCTATGGTATTGCTGTACAAGTCTGCGAGAAACAGAGTTTAACCCATTTTTAGTCTCTTTCTTTGGATCTAATGCAATGACTCTTAACTGTTCATTGTTTGCATTGTTTCTCATATTCTTCATTATTTTAAGGTCTGGAATTAATCTGTACATGGTCGTCGTGAATATTCAGCTCATCCTAACTTTTATATCTCATATATATATATATATATATATATATATATATATATATATATATATTTCTTTGTATGTATTTTAATTACTATTTAAAGGAAAAAAAAGTTTAACTGAACCCAACTATAATTTCTCAGCCAGCCTTATAACTGGAAGAAGAATGCTACCTCATCAAACCAGACTTTTCCTAGTCCCTGAGACCCTAACTTGTGAGGTATTTTAGTAACATCACAAGTCAGGCTCTTGGGACCTAGGCGGAGAGGAACCAGCAGCTTTGGACCTTATTGATTGTCTGCAGTTACCACCAGAACAAAAGAACATACATAGATTCTTCCTAGAAGAAAAGAACAATGCTCTTCTTTATAATCAGCAATGTTTCCACCATGACCCACCCCCAAAAATACTATTTTCAGAAACTGTACTCTAAAGTGATTACAGAGTTTCACTGAATTGCATCTATATTATAATGACCATATAAAAGCAATATAAGATATCTGTGTAAGAAGAAAAATTAAAATACAAGTGTAGAAATGCTACTTTTGGTGTATTTTAAGGTGGCTGGTCTAAGAGAATACCTCCTTAGATAATGAGAGAGTGGTTTATATATGTATAACTTTTTTCATATGCATAGAATATATACATTAGCTACTTAAATCATATATGTCTCCACGTAACTATGGCTCAGAATATGTAATATATAGCTGTAATCATGCTTGAGGCCTAGAAATAAAATGATTTACAATCTTCTTTACTGACCCTATTAGATTTTACTACTGAATTAAGAAGAATGCTGCTTTATATTTGGTGTTTATTGCCAGTGTTTTCCTTAGATTTTTAACCAGACAAAATACTTTACATGTCTTTTTATCATAAGACGTTCCCTTGTTATAAGAGTTCAAGTGAGAGTTATCAATAATTAGCAAAAATATGGTACCTTTTAGTTTTTATATTTTAGTTTGTATATCTCATAGACCTATGTGAGACAAATCAGTAAACACCACCTATGAAATCAGACTCTAAATCACCTATAAGCTGAATCTGAAATGTATAGTTTTAAAAGAATTTTATTTTCTTAAGAGGTAACTATTTCACCTATAACTAATGTGCTGTATTTGAACATTATTAGCCATTGGTACATCAAATAAGTATTTTTTTGAAATAGAATCAATATATTAAATCTGTTCAAAAATTTTATAATAATGTTGCAGATATTATGATCTAAAATGGACACTTTCCATAATAGAAGAAACAAAGCAATTTCACTCTTTTAACTCTAATGATTTACGTGGGTATTATAAATTTATATCATCTGCACTGTTAAAATAAATTTATGAATGTATTTTAGAATACTGTATGGAGTCTTTGTTCACCTTTTCATTGAATGTGTTATAATTACTTATGATTTGAAATATCACAGCATACAAGTTACCCATGAGTTATATTTCTTAAAAAATAGACTTTACAATATCATAAACATATTTGTCATCTATGTAAGGCAAATAGGAGATGTTTAAGCATGTATTCACACTGTAAGTATTCGGATTTTTATGTATATTACCTATCCCATTTCTTCAGAATCTTCAAATTTTAAATGTGTGCCTGTATGTGTGTGTATATATATATATATATATATGTTTTAAAACTGTAAATGAAAGGAGGTAATCTAAACAGTAAAGGTTTTTGGTAGTATTTATCTTTTATTTTTTTTAACTTCATTCTCATTGTAATTAAACACTTTTAAAGCATAATTTCTCAATACAAAGATCTCTGTATATACATCTATTAAGTACACAGAAACTTGATTATATTTAATTGCAATGTTTACACAAAGGATCAGAAACTACTTCTTATATAAAACAATATCACTTACAAGTATATGTGTACAGACACCTGTTTTAACATAATCATAAATAATATGTATAAGATGTTCCATCAGTTTAGTTCCAAAATAATGTAAAGGATAGTTGTTTGTTGCTGTATGATATTAGATATAAGCTATTTCCAATGCAATATTTTCTTTTATCATATTTATGAACCGCACTATATATTAACTTCTGTTTCATTGAAGAAAGGTACCAAAGCTCAATTTAAAATGCAATGATGTTTATTTTCCCATAAACACTTATAAAATATATACTTTTTACTAATCGTCATGTATTCTTTGAACCCTCCCTATGTACTTTCCTATATATAAACTGTCTTTTCTGAGAGCATCATTGATAAAGCTTTTCTCTTACCCCAGAAAGGTGAGTAAAGATGTAAGTGGGTGACTTTGTTTATATAAACTTATTTATGCTGTTTCTGGATGATGAAGGACAGTTTTTTCGTATTTCTATCGCAGCTGTCACAGGATAATATTGTTTTGGGACTGTATAATATGATTTGGAAAATCAGATCATACTAAGCTTAAAATAAACGGAGAGATCTACAACAAAGAGCGAGGAAATGATGTGTGTTGCATACCAAAAAAGCAGTGATATTAACAATTCGATGGCTTCCTGGTTGGGAGACCAGCCTGAGCCAGACGCATATATTAAGGGCTGTCTGCTGCGGATGCGAGCTTGTTCAATGCGGTGGAAATGAGGGATCACCTCCTCTCTGACACCAGCTTATTTTTACATTTTAATTTTAAAATAGCAAATCACTGTTTTACATAAGTATACTAACCCCTGTTTGATTCTTTTCCTTTCTCACATCGTTTGCTAATTTACTATGAACTTCAAGTTCCTTTTTTTTTAAATAACATCACTTACCTCAAAGACCAATGAAGTATTAGTTTTTCTTTTGTCTCTTTTGTATTGCTCTGTTAATATTGTGATGCTCATGCTTTTAACTTTAAAACTCTGTGATGAAAACATCGGTTTTCCAAAATGGCATTTTTTTAAAGCCTTTTAGGATCCATCAAGGAAGCCACTTCTGGAATTTTACCAAATATAATATGATTATAATTCATTTCAGGGTTCATAGGATCAATATCTTTCTTAGTTTAAAAGTCCTTAACACTTTAGTATTCCAGTGAAGCTATAGAAGAGGTATAGAGATATTCTAAAGTCATTTAAACATTAGGCTACATTACTAGTGTGTAGAAGAGAGGTATAAGTATCTCAGGGGAATTATAGTACAAGTTAATTACTAATGGAATTAGAGGAGGTGTATACTACCTTAAATTCCTCTTCAAGAGGAAATGCTGGTACATGTTGAATTCACCTGATAAATATGTAAATGGTTTTACAAGCTGTCCTGTTTAAATGAGTTTCAGGAAGAGCAGGATATAAAGGGTTAGCTAACGCCCAAATTTTCTTGCCATTTACACATGCAGTGCAGCCTACCGTTTCTGTAGGCAGCAAATGCAGGCATCATTTTGATATCTTGGATTATTGTCTTTATTTCTTACTATTCATTTAATTTAACACTCACGACCCAGTGATCTCTTAATGATGGTATTTAGAAAGGAAAATAAAGTTCCTAATCGAACTTTTAAAAAATCCTGGCCATTTGTAAGCATTTGAAAAATATACTTTTTAGTATAGCTTTGCAACTACATATTTACTGTGCAGAAACCTAAGTGGTATTGTTATCTGTCATCTCCGTATTTGGTTTTCTGATCTATAGGTGACCAAACACACCTTGAGGCATTTATATATGTGTGTGTGTAGTTAGATGATAGATAGAGAGATAGATAGATGATAGATAGATAAATAGATAGATATGTCTATATATATATATATATTTTAAGTCTTAGTGAAAATAGCATAAATGTTGAGACATTATCATAAAATCATTCACATTTTTTCAGTGAGTGATCTTCAATTTTTGCTGAATATTGCTTTTCCCCCTCATCTTCCCATACTAAATGTAGCTTTATAAGGTGAATTGCATTACTAGCCAATAATATTAACTTGTATGCAATGTCTTTACTTGTGGAAGTTTGAAAGCAGGTGGAACTTGAAGGTAATTAAGTGAATTTAAGGTTAAATACTTTTATTTTATATAATCAGTCAGCTAATTCTAAGCCTATTTTATGGAAAATTTAAAAGTGAAAAATTCTGATATGGTGAAATACATTTTTCACTGTTGATATAAGCAATGTGATTTTAAGTTTGTTAACTTAATAATTAATTTCTAAACAAACAAAAAAAGTATAAGAATGATCATGGATTATATCTGTTAGGTCAATTAGATGAGAATAATAACTCCTAGGTTTTATTTTGGCCTTTTAAGGTTTTGGGAGTGTTTCAGGTTCTTTTATGTAGGCAGATTTAACCATTTGTTGTTTCTAAGAAATTTCTCCCTTTCTATTGGTAGGTATCTGATGATTTGTGAGCACCAAGTGACCATTCTGTGGAATCATCTTTCCTTGCCTTTGAATTAGCTTTCCCTAGACCATGAGTCAACATCTGTATTTTATCCATCCAAATTGGTAGGTCTTTCTTGAAACAGTTCTATGTATTTTTCTGGTCATATAAGTGAATTGTGAGAAATTAGAGATTTACATTGTGATTGTCTTTCCAGTTTCCAAACATCTTCAGATGAGATTTGGGTAGTGTTGAAACACTAGCTAACAGAAGCGTTTGGTTTTGTAGGATTTTAAAATGTAATGTCTTTCTCATAGTATACTTCTTATTCTTAGTGAGGTTGGGTGGCGGGAGAGCAGGGGGGGACCTGACCATGGCTAAGTTATTACTCTGTTATTCATCACACTAAAAGCCCAGCCTGTGCATTTGTAAACCTCAGGGAGGTTTCTACATTAGACAGCATTTTTTGTTGGGGGATTACACCACAGTCGGTTCCCTTTACTTTTCTCTCTCTTCCTGGCCCCCCTCCACCCAACATGGAGTCTTTTCAACTTCTTCAAAGAAGTGGGGAAAAAAGTAGACTCTTTATTAATGGCAGAAAACAAACTGGCTGCCGGACTTCCGAGACAGCCTTCTAATAATAAAGCAGAGTAGGCACTGTGACAAAGAATTCTTGAATGTACTAAATATATAAGGAAGCCTATTTAAATTCACCAGAGGGGCTTAGAGGACAAGCAGCAGAAAGTTTAGAATTCAATTCAAGCTATGCCAGAAAATGAAAATGTACTTAAAAAAGGATTTCTGAAACAATTGTTCAAAGACATGTCATCTTTTAATGTTCTTTCTAGAATAATGAAATTCATACTCTAATTTCTGTGACTGTTTCAATTAGAAAGGAAAAATAATTAACAGAAACTCAATGGAATTATATCTTATGTTTAAAGAAAATGCGTTTTCTTTCCATAGGGTGTATTTTAGTGAAGGCCACTTAGTGCATTGACTAAATTCACCCAAATATACACACACACACGACAAAGATGATGTATTTTTCAGCAATTAGACATCTCATAAGAGAAGTACTCTTCCTACTTTGGAAAAAAGATATTCTACTTGTATGTTCTTCCTAGTTCATTTCCTCCTATTCAAGTCTATGATTTATGTTTTGAATAAATGCCATGAACAAGTTCTAAAAGAGCAAATTGCTGATAAATAATAGGACTAGGTGATGCTAAATTTGAGAGAGAAAAAAATGATCCCTACCTTATCTCTTTTTGACTTAGAAAATGCTCTTTACCTTTTATTTATCTATGAAGCATAATTCTATAAGGAGTACCCGTGTCTATAAGAATATATATCTTATTAGTCCTAATGTTGAGGTAAAGAACTGCTTGTAAGGTTCACTTAAAGGCCAGTACAGACTTGACTCCGGGATGAAATTTTTAGCAGGCTTTCTCCTAGTATCTTTTAGAATTAACATAGATATTGGAAAAATATTATCATTCTTTATCTCAGGGATTACAAGTTGTAAAGGGGATGGAAACTTGAACTCTTATGACACATCTTCATTGTCATTGTGGAGAGATCTTCATCAGCCCATAAATATAATTTATCAACTCAAAATAAGCTGTTGATATATTAATTCATACATTCATTCACAAATGTATATCCAGCATAAAAAAGGACTCAATGAATTAAGGCTGCATCAACACATGGGACCCCTATGGCCAATTAAGACTTGATCACTTAACAAAATTTGATTGATTTTAAAATGAAATGTCAGATGTATGAATATTAGTTATAGATATTAAATATTTAATGATAAAAGGTAATTGCTGTCCTCACTATAAATTGATGCAGCCTGAATCATCATTTACCAAACAACTGAACTGATTTACATTGGCTTAAAATTCTTAATGACATTTTAATATCAAGGATTTCAGTAGACTTAATGATTGATCTATGAAATAATTTAAGTAAATTCCTTAACCCTGTACCTAGCACCAAGAAAACATTCAATGAATATTATTTAGTTTACTTCTTCCTGTTTGGGTATTAGTATTTGCCTTTGTTAAACAGATTATTTTTTTCATCACCAAAATTTACTGGGTAGGTATACACTGTCCCAAAGGGTAAAAAGCAGAGCACATAATGAAATCATTCCAGCTCCAGGGGCATTCAAAAGTCATATACGCTAAATATCTTTATCAAATACTTTCTGAGTGTAAATTTCTAGAAAGAAAAAGATAAATTATGCTGTCAAATACTGTATTTCCCCATGTATAAGATGCACCATTTTTCGAAAAATTTGGGGTCTAAAAACTGGTGCGTCTTATACAGTGGTTGTAGATTTTTTTACTTGCATTTCCCACAAGTGATGAGGAGGAGTTGTATGAATTTTATGATGAATAAAACTTGAGTTCAATAACTTTATGTAATACATTTTTTTCAAATTTCAGGCCCCCAAATTAAGGTGTGCCTTATATATGGGGAACTACGGTAGCTTGTATCTACAAAAGATACCTTCCATTTTATAAATCCTGTAACTTAGCGGTTTTATTATGTTTTATAACTTACAGATAAGCATTTTATGTGGTTTGTCCTATTTTCTAGTTGTAGCTGAGATAAACTACCTATATACTTTGAGTTGTTTGGACAAGATACGGCGGGGAAGAGGCATTGTTAGAATTTTGCAGTGCCTATATTCTCTTTATATTATTCCCGATACTATATAAAAGCCTTTTAAGACCATAGATTGACCAGGAATATTAATTATTGTGGTTTATAAAACTGGTATTTCCAGAATAATTAGACAAAATGCAGTATATACATGTGATTTCTATCCCTCTTTAAAAAAAAAAAGAAACCATAGTTCTTTTTTTTTAATTATTTTTTTTTATTGTGAAATACACATTTTTTTTAGAATTAGTTTCAGCTGTACAGCACAGTGCAATAGTTATACTTTTTACCCCTCGAGGTGACAATCCCCCTCCCCCAATCGGCCACCCCTCTTCCCCCACCCAGTATCATACATATCTACTACAATTCCCTTGACTCCACTACCACACTATACTCCACATCCCATGACTATATATAGTTCTTTTTAGAAAAAAAAAAAAGTTAAGTTGAATATAATGGTATTGATCATGCAAAGTTTCATGAACTGGGAATTAACATTAATTAGTCAAAGGTCCAAAACATTCTGATTGTGCTATTCTCTGGGCATTAACAAAATATGCAGAATAAACTTGGATTTTTAGACTTGCATCATAAACACTACCATTGAACTTGAATAGTGAAGTAAAGGTAGAACGCAAGAATTCTAATGCCATTTTTACCACTAGTTATCTTATAAAACTGACCCTTTATCCTTTTCACTTTCCCAATTTGCAGCTGATTTATGAAATAAGAATGTGGAAGAAGATGATTTTAAAGTTTCTTACATGTAAAAAATTAGTATCTAGTAAAAAATTAAATAGTTGGTTATTTTTCCACCACACTGGGGATATTTTGAGTACAAGGAGTAGGAAAGGATAGCCTTAGTTTAAATCATTATATTAATCACTCTTTCAGTAGCAAACGATCAAAACCCAGATGAAACTCATTTAAGAAAAAAAGGAAGCTGTATGTATATCATCTTCCCCTCCTTTTCCTTCATCTCATCCCCTTCCTCCTCTTCTTATTCTCTTTCTTCTCCTCCTCTCTTCTTCCTCTCTGGTCCTTTTTCCCTCTTCCTCTCCTTCTCCCTCTCCCATCTTTCTCTTACTCAGTAGCTCTCTCTCGCTCTCTTTTTCTGTCTCTCTCTCTCTATCACTATCTCCAATGTGTTGACTTTGTTTTCAGGTGGTTGACTTCATTCCCACACTCTTTCTGTGTGTTAAACAAAAAAAAATGGTGACTGGCAATTCTAGACATGCATCATGCATCATTCCTAGAGCTTATGATTCCAGAAGGAAAAATGAAAATGTTCTCTCTACCCCCTCATTAATTTCATTTATCAGGAGATTCTGATTGTCTCTGTTTTCCAGACACTTCTCTGTCCAGATGAGAGTTTAGCAGATTGGACAGCCTATATAGGGAGGCAGAACAAGGTTAACCTAGCAAGGTTAATGGCAAAGGCTTTAAAAGAATTTCAAAGCAGGCAAAAAATGTAACAGGAATCCAAACAACCACTACAAATTTCCAAATCACTTAGTATAATGATATATTATAGGCTTCTGTCAAATACGTTTGTCTTGGTAAACTTAGTTGAGTCTATCCACATATAGACAATATTATTTAGCCCCAACATGCTTGGTACAACATTGTAACTATGAAACATTTGCAGCAGCAAATCTCAACCTTGAGTATCATGGAGATTAAATATATTTTATTAAATTTTCCATAATCATTTATTATGTGGCATGCATCAGGAAAGTCAGCATTAGGGCTCATTTAGGAATGTGACATTTTAAAAAGTATTTAAGATTATCAGAAATGGGAGTTTGCTCAAGAAGGGATGATGATTATATTCTGTAATGTCCAGTATCTATCCTCAGACACCATATGTTTAGGCTATCCTGTTACAGAAAATTATATATCTTTTCTACTTTTACCTGCAATATTAGGGAGCATTATATTAATGATTCTTGAAAATATTTTATTTTGGTTTGTGAATTGAGTTTTTCCTTTTCTACTATCTTCTACTAGTTTTATATATCATGAAGTGACCTGGGCAGTTTTAAACATTTTACTATCTAGAACTTTTTAGAGACCTTTATCAATGAGAAAATGATTAATTTTCTATGAATAATGATTCTAATACAAAACATTCTGCTGGGGTATTTTTTGTGATGCAGATGAGCAATGCTGTAAATATGATTTAGAGGGTTTGAAAAATGATTTTAACATCACAATTCTTCTTCCTAATTAATTAAACTACAAATCTATGCTGTGGTTTTCAGTGTATTAAAATAAGATGTTATATTTGGAACATCTGTTTATGCTTCTATTATGAGTATGTGTTTCTAAATGTCTGAAGTATCCATAAATAATATTTGTTAATTTAGTCTGTGGAAGGATGATACCTACTTCCTCCCATGATGCTTGTTTATTTCCTACAGAGTAAATCTTTCAGATTGTATGTTAT